AGATAATAACCATAATCATTTATTTAAATTTTACAGATAAATAGTTATATTTCATAACCGTTTATTTGTTTAAACGGTTATTCATAATCGTAAACGTAAATTTTAAATAGACCGGTAACCGTAACTATACCTGTAGATGATTTGTTCATTCCTACTCTTGGGTGGAACTCTCAGTCTTGTAATCAAACTTTTGGTTCTTGTGGAAAAAACTCATTTTCACAGAAAGTAAACTTGGTCTTTCCCTTCTCGATCTTTCATCCAAAATCTAGCATATCTTCTTTCGGTGGGCCCCTCCTACAAACTGTGCTCCGCACGACACGAGAGAGGTTTGGTTTCATTGGATAAGCAACCAAACTGTTAAACGGTTATGCGAATAAAAAATGGTAAGTACGACAAAAACGAGTAAACGGTAAGCAGTTATAGTTAAATGAGTATCTTGTTATGAGTATGGTTAACGATTTATAGACGGTTATAGATATTGGTATAACTGTTTATGCAATTACTTAACTAGTAAATGATTATGGGGTATGAGATTAAACGGTTATGATAAAAATTGCGGTTACTCGTCCACCATAAACGTTGTCTATCCCTAATTGTGGTTTATTAAAAATTTTAAAATTATTTTATTGTTAATTTATTAATATTTAATTAATTTTTTAATCCAATTAAGCGGTGGACTTTGCGCACAACATGTAAAACAAATTGATGAAAAATTTAATAAAAGTTTGACATTGCAACGAATTGATAACTTGATATATAACACTTTTTTTAAAAGGACAACGAGTGGCAAGTCACAGTTATCCACCCATTCTGGGAGTTGGAAAGTGATATATAACATTTCAATGATTAAAAAAAATTAGATATGCAGCATAGTGATTTAAATTTGAGATAGTAAAATATAATGGGTTTTTGAACATTAGTCCTTGCAAAAGATTAAAATTTAAAAAAAAAATATGGTGCTAAATTACATATTCAATTTAATCCCTTAAAGTGTACTTTTATCAAAATTTATATTCAATTTTTGTTATTTAATGTGTATTTTTATTTAATCTCTCCACATTGAATTTTAATTTTATTAATATGCACATATTTAGTTCTGTAATTATAAATGAACATAAATGAGAAAATATTAAAAGAAATTTGTGATACAAAAATATATAAATATATAAGTGTATAGAAATGACTGTGCGGAAATATATAAAATTGACTTTTTAGTACTGAAATATTTGTACCTACATGATTGTACCGAAATATATTATAATGAACCTAAATATATGGACTGAAATGTATTATATTGAATTAATGTACCTAAATGTTAATACCAAAATGTATGTACCAAAATGTACGTACCAAAATATAGTATATTGAATGAATGTACCTAAAAGTCAGTACTCAAATGTGTGTACCAAAATGTACGTACTGAAATGCATTATATTAAATTAATGTATCTATATGTTTGTATCAGTGGATATACAGAAATATTCAAATGTATTAATGTACCTAAATGAAGAACATACAAAATTGTTATCGGAATATATATTATAAAAAAATAAGTTGCCTAAATGTAGACATTAAAATATATTATGCTGAATGAAATAAAAAATAAATTTAAATGTAATTAATACATTAAAATAAAAATAAAAGATAAATAAAACATCAAAATATAACTAATAAATGAGATGATTAAATGTACTAGGGACTAAAATTGGATTTTAATCTTACACAAGATTATAATCTAAAACCCATCTTTTTTAAGAATTAAAATGAAGTTCTCTAAAATATAATTTATTCATAATATAATGTAGCTAGAACTTTCTAGCTCATTTACTACACCAACATAATGTGCTATAATTCGCCAGCATATGCATAAATCTTTCTTTGTGCTTTCATCATGGGCTGGACCTATATTAACAACAATACGTCGAGTGCGTGGAGGAAAAATTATGGAAACGGCTCCCGGTCATTCTTCAGGGCACGGATTTTTTTTTTTTAATTTTTTTTTCACACAAAGACTTTGTATAGACTTGTAGCTAAGCAAGATATTTAAAATGATCATTCACAGACATACAATGCGAATAGCAGTGTAAACGGCCTCGTCAAGAGCCTCCAAATTCCAGTGAGAAAATGAGTTAAACAGGCAACACCTCACCCTTTCTATGTTTTTCTTACAATCATGAACAACCCCATCAGCAAACACCCTATTAAAACTCTCACTCCTCTTCTCCTTCCCCTTTTTCTCCGCATGATAGCCATACACATGGCCGGGGCCTTACCGCCCTACGTTCCGTCTGAACAAATCAGCCTTCAATGTGGCTCTGCCGGTCCCAAATTCGTCCGAGACTCCCGATATTGGGGTGGAGATATCCGCTCAATTTTTTTTCCATTCGAGCACCAAGCAGCTCGTAACAATTCCGTAGTCAAAGATTCACCTCTCTCTTCTTATTCCGGACAACCGCCTTACAGCTCAGCGAGGCTTTCCCGCTTTAAATTTACCTACACATTTCCACTCTCTGCCGGCCCAGTGTTCATCCGCTTGTATTTCTACCCAGCTTCTTACGCCCCCAACTTCAACCGATCCCAGGCCCTCTTCTCAGTCCAAGCCGGTGGCTTTACCCTTCTCCACGACTTCAACGCTTCAGCCACAGCTGATGCTTCTGCCTCGGATACTATATACAGAGAGTTCTGCCTCTGCCTCCACACTGAGTCAGGACATAATTTGAATATCACGTTCACTCCAAGCAACGCAAGCCCAGATGCCTACGCGTTTATCAATGGGATTGAAATTCTCTCCATGCCCCCATATCTTTACTACACTTCACCCCAAAGCCGGGATGGGGTTACTCATGTAGGCAGTGAAAACACTACTCGCATCAACAACAACACTGCCTTGGAGATGGTGTACCGAATCAATATCGGTGGCGAAAGGTGGATCTCTTCTGATCAGGACACTGGTATGTACCGCAATTGGGAAGGTATGGGAGACGAGTCCAACTACCTAGACGATTTAAGTAGGAAGTATAGTATTTTACAGCAAAACAGTAGCATTCAGCTTAACTTTTCTAAAATACCAGAGTACTCTGCTCCGAAAGAAGTTTACCAATCAAGCCGCTCAAAGGACACGAGCACGGACATGAACGTGACCATAATCGACAGGTACAATCTCACCTGGAAATTCCCTGTGGATTCAATGTTTGCTTACTTGGTTAGGCTTCATTTTTGTGAGTTTGATGGTGATGTGACGATGCCCGGATACCGTGTATTTAACATCTACATCGACAATCAATCCGCTGAGAAAATGGCGGATATAATCGAGTGGACTGGTGGAAATGAAAGACCAGTGTACAGAGACTATGTTGTGTTCATGTCGGGGAACCCTGCAATCCCGAAGAAAGTCAATCTCTTTCTTGAACTGGAATCGGATTTGTTGAATGGGTACTGGGTGGCAATCTTGAACGGACTCGAAATGTTCAACTCAGTGCAAATCGGAGTCTCGCCGGACCAAGCCCTGACCCACCTCCTATAGCCCCAGCAAAGGGGACACCATCAAAACCTAGCACCAGATCAAGAACTCCTTTGCTTGCCACGGTTGTCGGTGTAGCTTGCGGAATACTTGGAGTCTCTGTCCTTGGGTTCTTGGTTTTCAGGCGGCGGCGGAAAGTCAAGAGCACTGCCTCAGATGGGTCATCATCTTTACCAACACATTTGTGTCGTTACTTTTCACTGGCAGAGATCAAAGCCGCCACCCAAAACTTCAACCAGAGTTTCATTGTTGGTGTAGGCGGCTTCGGTCACGTGTACAAAGGGCATATCGACGGCGGGGCCACTCCCGTTGCTATCAAACGGCTGAAACCCGAGTCATCGCAAGGAGCCCACGAGTTCAAGACGGAAATCGAGCTGCTCTCACAACTCAGACACCGCCATTTGGTGTCTCTCATTGGGTATTGTACTGATAAAAATGAGATGATTTTGGTGTACGATTACGTGGCACGTGGAACCCTCGCTGATCACCTCTACCAAACTGACAACCCACCTCTCTCCTGGGGACAACGGCTCCAAATTTGCATTGGCGCTGCGCGAGGGCTGCGCTACCTTCACAGCGATGCCCAGGGCACAATCATCCACCGTGATGTGAAGAGCACAAACATTTTATTGGATGAGAAATGGGTTGCCAAGGTTTCGGATTTCGGATTGTCGAAAGTGGGCACGGCCACCATGTCCAAGACCCACATCAGCACGGCCGTGAAAGGCAGTTTCGGGTATCTAGACCCGGAATACTACCGACGTCAACAACTGACGGTGAAGTCCGATGTGTACTCATTCGGTGTAGTGTTGTGTGAAGTACTGTGCGCAAGACCAGCTGTGGTGCATGCAACGGAGACGAGGCAAATGAACTTGGCTGAGTGGACCAAGAGCTGTCATCACGACGGGGAACTTGATCAAATCATCGATCCGAACATGAAGGGTAAGATTGAAACCGAGTGTTTGAACAAGTATGTGGAAATTGCTATGACTTGCATCCATGACAGTGGGATGGAAAGGCCGTCAATGAACGACGTTGTGAGGGGGCTTGAGTTTGCATTGCAACTACATCAGAACTGCGGTGAAAGGAACGAGGATGCCTTTGCTAGTGTGCCAGGTTGCACTACTAATGAATCCGTTCAGTGCATATCTGAGACGATCTTCTCAGAGATCAACGATCCGAATGGAAGATGATGAGCAACATTAGGAGTAATTTGGCTGGACACAAAGGCTATGGGTAAGCCTGACCATGATATGAGTATGTTTTTTCTTATCTATTGTGTTTGAACCCAATTGAATGCTGAATCACTTGCACTTAAAACGTGCTTCTAGATAGAAGAGTTTTTCTGAACAAGCACATGCCAAATGCTTATCCAAAAAGCACTCCCAAGCCTTTTCACAAGAAACCCTGATTTTTGTAAAACCTTCTGTATTTTTAATAAAAGCACTTGTCAACAAAAGTGCTTACAAAAACAGTTTCATACGATCCCCAATTTGGCTGGAATATGCTCCATTACAACTTCTGGACAAGAGAATTTTCCTGTTAAACGCAACCGAGGTTACTACTGATATAAGCAGTCGATCATCATTTCGCAAGAGTACAATGTTATACCATTTGTAACCAACACGAAACTATTTTCCTGCCAAAATTTTCAAAACATTTGATTCAATTCCAAAATAAGGGGGAATCAATAACACTCGTTCATTGAAACTCTCGTAAGTCAGTCAAGCACCTACACTAAGATCCGTAAGTTTCTAACGAATAACTAAGCCTTGCACTGCCTGTGATCCATCGTCAGCTATCCTGTTAGCTCGAATGGTGCTGATAACATTTGCAATATTACCCTGACAATGAGAAACTCTGTCAATATATGATTACATAAAGAATGGATAATGCAATACAAAGAGTGGTATGTTATACGGTAGCAATGAATCGGTTCTTAGTGGGCAGTTAATAATGAAAAAGCGGCTGAAGTTACTTACCCTCCAAGTTGCTAACTTTGTTCTTAGTGTAAGCCATTGTTCTTCCCCAAATACTCTCTCAGTACAGCGGCTGCAGATCAAAGGCCAATTCGGTTCAACAAAAAAGAAGCCTAAAAGATTGAATAAACAAATATATGCATCTTTGTGCGTACGCAGAAGGTACGAAACACAAACTAACCGCACAATCACCACTTGATTCATCTGGTCCATTTTACAGTCCATCAACTTGGCAGTTATTGCTGTTTACCTTCATCAAATCTGCAATCATGTTCAAGCATTAATGGACTAGCCAATCTGCTCCATACAAACTCCAATCAGAAGATATCAAGAAAATTTCTCATCTATTTGGCAAACCAGAAAGCATAATTTTAACTACGTGACCAGAAGCAGTCCAGATCCGACATTTTTAAAATATGACTTTGTTATCATACAATGTAACCAAACATCAGACAACTTGAATATATATGCCTCAATGAACTTTCCACATAAATGACATTATTCAACATGGAAAGCAAATTTAGAAAATTCATCACATTGACTAAAATTAACTGGGGGTCAAATTATCATGCACTCTTTCAAGAAAATTAGCTAAGTTTCATGTCTTTCAAAATCAATAACACATTAGCACTTAAGATCCGGTTCATGTTTCTTACACGGATAAACACTTAAAGTGCAATTAGCACTTTCACTGTGAAACACATTGCAGATACAGATATCACTCAAGTTAGAAAAAATCATGAATTTGTTATGTAAACCATTGCAAAATTAACCACTTCGCACAAATTGAAGAAAAACATCTTTGTTCCATAATATGATTCAATAAAGACATTGGAATTTAATTGCAATTACTACAATGAGTAGCATTATCTAAACTTGTTAAGGCAAAAAACAGTGAATTTCTTTAAGTGAGGCAGTTTAACTAATTGAAAAAGCAGTGAACATTTGAAGTTAACTCTGAACGCGTCGACAAGCATGCAAACATTGCTTCATTAAGTGTAAGATCCAATTGATCTTCTGCAGCTCCAAAATTAAGCCATTTCTACAGTTTGACGGTGACAGAACAGCCAATATAACAGAAATGTTTGACAATATGAACAGGCGAACAATAACAGTATTTCAGTAAAGTTTGTTAGTAATTTTAGAATAAGGGTATAGTGTAATTGAGATATACTGGCTATATAAGGAACTGTATAGCTATTATTTCATTAAGTTCAGTGTGTGTACTTTTTCCTAATCATCAATACAATCTCTTTTGTTTTTTCTCTACCACCAATTCTTTCCCTTCCTTTGTACCAAATCTTCATCTTTTACAATGTAGTTAATAGAAGTAAGCATAAGGGACACCAAATCGAACCACCTGTCCATTACCACTTCTTGGGCTTCAGTACATAGTCTAGCAACTTGCGGCTCAGCCGCTCAGCAACCTGGCAGATAATCATGACAAAGATAAATCTCTTCCCTTATAAGGAAATTAAAGAACAAGGGTCATTCCCTCGACTCGTACTGATGAGAATTTTACTTCATGAGAGATTAAGCAAAAAGTTGCCGAATTGGCCTACAGGAAATTCACCAACTTCCGTAGTGATATGCATATGCACAGTATCTATATACATAATACATACACGCGTATTTCGGTTTTCTTTCGTTGGGAAAAAATGGTGGTGAAATATCAATTCTTACTTCACAATTACCAAATGCAGAATGCGGAAATACATTAGCCCAACGTTGTTGTCACTGCAAACCCAAGTTTCGGATTCGAAAGCATTACAATTAAAACTGAGTTTCGAGATTAAGCACGTAATACGCAATAAAGGACTAAAATTTTGGAGGGGGAGGGGGGGGGGAATCCAATATCTAATCACAGATTAATAATAGCAAACCCAAAAACTCAGTGCAATTACTCGATCCAAAAAACTGGGCAGAAAGCATCCAACCCCCGAATTAGAGATGGAATAAATTACAGCACAATCACATCTTGGCCTAAATGCACAGAGAAACATGGGGAGGGAAATTGGAGGAGGCGATATCAACTCAAAATTCTCCCCCTTCCAAGCAGCTTGCTGCTCATCAGTATTCAAAGCAGCAACCCCGATCTCCTCCCCCAGCCAAGTGCCTTACACCACAGCTCGGCTCTCTCGCTCCAAATTTACATACACATTTCCACTCACCAGCGGCCAAAAGTTCATCCGCTTGTACTTCTACCCCACTTCCTATGCCGCTGAGTTCGACCGATCTAAATCTCTCTTCTCAGTCGAAGCCGGCGGCTTTACCCTTCTCCGCGACTTCAACGCCTCCGTCACCGCCGACACTTCCTCGTCGGAGACAGTATACAGGGAGTTCTGTCTCAACATTGCATCCGAACAGAGCTTGAACATCACGTTCACTCCGAGCAGAGCAAGTCCAGATGCCTATGCCTTCATCAATGGAATCGAAATCGAAATCGTGTCCATGCCCGACAATCACCGAAACATCATCATAATATCCACATGTACAAGATACCTCGCACCGAGAGCTTATGGTGATATTTCCCCATCTCCATTCGGATACGAAAAGTAATTATAACTACTCCGCTTATGGTGATATTTCCCCATCTCCATTCGGATACGAAAAGTAATTATAACTACTCGGGCGATTTCTTAATGATTTGTAAATAACGTCGTATCAATACTCGTGACTTCTAGCTGAAATGTGATAGTACAAACTGAATATGTCTTTTAATGTGGTAAACAGTAATTACATTTGCACAATTGGGGTGATACAAGATGGTGCAATCGTAGGCATTGATTTGGTTCTTCTATCTTCGCTGTAACACCCACCTCCTATTTGTAAAATATATTGATGTATTTAACCCCTCAACATTTTTAATATATCAATTTGATCCTCTTTGACTACCCTATCAGAAATTAAAGCTTTGGATTCCCTTTCTTTTTCAAGCTGCCACGTGGCAGCACCTCTTCACTCTTCTCTCTTCTCTCACTGTTTCCCCCCCCCCCCCCGGTGAACCCTCCTTCTTTCTTCTTCTTTTTCCGTCTGTCTCGTCTCTCTCCCTCTCGGCCCTATCTCATCTCTCTCTTCTCTGCACCGCGAAAACACACACACATCATCGCACGCAAGCGTACGTGAGGAAGACCCATCACCCATCACCATCTCGTCCTGTTCTCTCTCTCTCTCTCTCCCTCGTTCCCACTACTCCAAAAAACTTGAAAATGAGCTCCGGCGAGATTTTTCAATCTTCGGTTAGGTAAGCCCCTAATTTTCTCTTTTCGTCCTTGTTTCTTGTGAGATTGAGGTTTAATTGAGTTGTATTCGTGATTTTTGGAGGTTTTAGAGCGGAATCGAACTCGGGTGTAGGAACACCCATTTCCGGCGAACCGAGGGTGTCAAGGGAGATTCCGGCCATCTCCGGCCGTTCCACGACTAAAGGAAGGTATAGAATTACTCCCCTCATCTTGCTCTTCGTTTTGATACCTAGATCGGGGTCTAGGGTTGTGTGTGGTGGTCGGCTGGAGCTGTTGAAGCTCCGGTGGTTGTTCTCCGGCGAGATCAGGCCTCCCAGGCCGATTCCAAGCAAGCGAGCCTTAGGCCCGTGTGGTGAGGCAAGCCCAAGTCCTAGCCCAGTTTCATTTTAGTTGTTTTTATTTAATTAATTTATTTTAGGACTTAAAGGCCCTCGGGCCGTTTATGTTTAGGGCATGTAGCCCGTGACCCAACCCAAAACCTTTTAAGGTTTTAATTAATTTCTGTTTTGGAAATTAAGGCCTTAGGCCATTTAAAAGGTGGGCTTTCAACCCTTTCCCAAAACCCTTAAGGCCTATTCGACCCAACCCAATTCAAAGCCCATTGACTTTGACCTCTGACCAGCTGACCTTGACTGTTCGCTCGGTCAACGGTCAACGGTCAACGTTGACTCGGTCAACTGTCAGATTTGACTTTGACCAGTCAACGGTCAACTATGACTTTTGAGTTGACTTTTCGGGGTTAAGTTCAGGACCTCTCCTAGGCTAATTTCGACGTCCTGAACCCGTTTTTGAAGTCCGTTTTCCCAAATTCAATCGTTTGAATAGAGTTTGACTAAAGGTACTCATTTATGTGAATATGTGCAATTATTAACAGTGATTCCGCTATACCTTTTTAGTACAGCTTTGCACCATCGGTGTACGATAAATGGACCTCTTCAAAAGCATGTTTTAATAATAGAAATGTGTACATGAAAAGCATGATTTAATACTTATGTTTTATAAAGTACTTTATGAGATAGTATGTTTACTGAGGCTAGATTGAATTATTACTATTTTTCCTATAACCCATGTTCTTATAGAATATCCGATGGATGACGATATGATATTTAGAACATGTTTAGAACATCTCTTTGTAGTATAGATGATGGATGACTTTATACTACGAAGTTGTTTTTCAATATATATATGTTCTGTGGTTTTGTACTTACCTAGTGGTCCTTTCCACTACGGGACGTAGGGATAGATTCTGGTCCGTCCCGAGCTACGGTTTGGGGTTGGCATAGGGTCTGGAATGTGTTTCCTCTGGCTATTTAGCACAAGGACGGGGAGCCGACATGGGGCCTGAAGTGTATTTTCCTCTGACTGTCTACTCAGAAACGGGGAGCCGGCATGGGGCTTGGAGGTTATTGGACAAATCACTAGTGTTTATTACTTATACAAGTTATGAATTTGAGACACTGCACATCATGCTAGGTTTCGGAAAAACTATGTTTATCATTATATATGTGTTTTCATAAACCTGGGGGTTAGTATGTTGATAACTGTTTTATTATATTTATATCAAATTGGTCCACTCATGTTTGTTTTACGCCTCCTTCAGGACTTAGAATCGAGGCGTACAATCCCGGCATCCAGGTACTTCCGTATCGGTATCTTCGAGTCCTCTCGATGTAGGATCCACTTCTATGTTCATTCAATTTTTACATTAATTCTTTTAATGTTCTAGATTAGACGTATGCTCTGAATACATTCCTTAAATGCATATTCATTGGTCTTTTACATTCATAAGTCTTATTTACTCCTTAGTCTCAGCATTTGCATTTAATAAATGGCTTTCGTTACCTTTGGGTGTCGGCCAGTACGTGCTTATCCTGGTATTTGGAGAATATCGGGATCGATGCATGTTAGTCGCTAACAGAAATTTGGCTCCTTTCAAATGAAGATGTATTTGAGAAGTTTTTCAGATTGGTAAAGATTTTGGACACATTTCTCCACAGAGAAGTGTCATCCGGTTTTCAAGTAAAGATGATAACTATTGACTCTAAGTCATGAGTAAGATGGTTCATTTCGTACGGCTCCGACTGTTGGGAAATATAAGCAATACTCCATCATGATGCATCTATACAGCTAAAACATTCGGAGAAAACATCATTGTGGATTTCAAAATTATTGATGTCATAGAAATGTATAAAAATAAAGGTCGAGAAGAGACAACACTTCAATTGTCAAAAATTTATTCATAATCAACGTCACAAACTAAACTAATTTTCCTCGATCGACAAGTGAGGAGAAACGCTAAAACTAAAAAGTCGCTAACAAACTTCCAATAAAATTTGAGAAGGTCAAGGACGTCTCGTATTTCACAATAATTTGTGGGAATATTCAAATTTCTACATTTGCAACCTTTTGGGAAAAAAAATTATAATAATAACGTCTGTTGAGATCATGTCTTCCAAGAAAAGTACTTTATCTAAACAAAGCTACACTTGTTGTAACATCGACGGTATGTGCAGTGAAATAAATAAACAAGACACAAAATTTACGAGGTTCCTCTACCGTCAGTGTGACTGGGGTACATCCTTGGGACAACAGTGATGCCTTCATTATAATCTGAAATAATAAGAGTATAAAGATAACTATCTCTATTATCTATCTTCCTCTTTCTCTCTTTTCTCTCTTCCTCTTCCTCTCATTTCTCTCTTCCTCTTCCGTGAGTCTCTCACTTTCATCTTCTCTTCTTCTTTTTATTACCACCTTTTGAACACTTGTAATGCTCTATTTATAGAGCAAACATTTTGAAAAGCAAACAAAACACTATTAAACTTGTGAAAGGTTTACTATATGCATGTGGGCATACATACCCACTATTTACAACACTCCTACTTGGATGCCCACATAAATCTTCAATTAACTTGTTAAAATCTTGATCTCTTTTTGGATGCTCCCCCTGACGAGTATCTCCCCCTGATTTCAAATTCTTTAGGCTAATCATTGATCATTATGCGTCAATCCCTTAGCGAGCAGAGTTGCTGAAATAGGTGTTTTACTTGTTGTTAACTTTCCACAGGCTTGTTCTTAAACTGGGCTGGAGGGCCTTCTGCTAGACTTCCTCCAAAGGTCTGAATTTACTTTTTTTATCTGGGGCTAAATTTAATTCAAGGGTGGTGGACATTTGATCTTGAATCAAACTTATGATTTCTTCAAGGACCTTCGAAGCTTGATCTTGAATGAAGTTGTACCGTGAGGAGCTTCACGTGGCAAGTGATCTTTAGCTTTGTCAGGGATGAATCAGCACGTGTTTGTTGTGCTTGTCTCCACATACTTCAATGTATCATTTTCACTTGCCTTACTTGTTGCCCTTGCTTAAGTAGTATTTTTCCTGGTTTTCCCCCATACATGTGTGGCATATTCTCCTGCAGTATTTGCCTTCTGATGCAGGAGTGGAATGCAACCCTTGCATTTGGATGGTTCATCACTTCTTGGTGACTGGAGACCCAGCTCCAACAACAGTTGAAGATGACTACTTGAGAGCAATGCTAGGTAAGCAATCAGGAAAGGTTCTAGGCAGTCGGTTCCTTACCGGGAGTTTGAGTGGAGGTTCCGACATATTGCTTTTTTTATCCTTGTCTTTGAAGGTAAGAACAAAGACAAAGGAAATGACAGAGAGATTGCATGATATGAGATATTTTTGCTCTCATCCCTGATGATATGAGATATTCTTGTTCTGGTGTGACTTATTCGAAGAGGTATTCTCGGAGAGGAAGAAAACTGAGTACTTCGAGATGCTTTGTTGAATCTGCATTCTCGGAGATGAGGAAGAGTTAGGTATTCTTGCAAATCTGCCTTGTTATAGAGAACAAAGGTCGACATATATAGAGATTTCTCCAATAGCAGGTAGTGGTGTGGATATGGCTTTGTCATCCATGTTTGTCGGCAACAGTGTTGTAGTTGGAATAGTAAGATTTACGCGTTTTCAACTTTGTCAGAGATCTTTGACAAAGTTGCACGCGATATCTGAAAAAACTGAGATTGTGTCTGAAAAATGCCAACGAACTTCATTCAGGAAAATCTGGCTTTTGGAATTCGGAGAACGGTGCCTCTTCGATCTCTGAACAAGTGGCTCTGTTGCCTCTTCTTTTATAGAGACATCCTTTTGTTGAAGAAAAAAAAATAAAATTAGTTTTGGTTTTATTTGACATTTCGGGCTCGATGGCAATTTCATAAATAATGTGAAGTTGTGTTAAGGGTTAATCTCAGTCAGGGGCAAAGTTAGAAGAAACATTTGATGTTGCATGTTTGGCTTTGCTTTAGCTCGTGAGATTTTTTTTTATTTTTTTGGCCTATTGTATGTTACTTTTGTCGTATTCATTAAATCTCAAGCTTTTTTCATTAAATAAAAAATTAAGATGGTTTTTTAATAAATTAAAGTTCCTCCAAATTCTTTTTATTAAAGCTTCCATTTTTATTTTTATTTTTATTAATAAAAAATGCATTATAATTGTGTAACATGAGTTAAGAAATAATTGAGACAATAGATCATTGAGCTACAACTACAAGTCCCACATAAACTTTATTTGAGTGTCATGAGTCATGATATAATATTATTTTTTTAAAGGATACATGGACAATAATAGATAAAGTTGTATATGGCAGGAAAAGGATCTTCGTTGTATCATTTTCCTAGGAATCGTAGAATTTCGTGATCGTGACCGTTCATCGTACATTGTACGGTCATAAATCATTTCAAAATTTAAATTTTAAAATTAAATATAAATAGTACCTAACAAAAACTGACCGGACGATGTACGATGAACAGTCACGATCATATGATCCCTAGGATCTCCAGGAAAAGGATCCGGTGATTATCCTTTTCCTATATGGCACGGTTGAAATACTGTTCATATTTTTTTTTAATCATATCTAAATGTAGTATTTTGAACTCTCTCCCTTCTCTAAATTAATGTAGTAATTTTGAATTCTCCCACTTATATCATGTTTACGAACTCATAATTAGAATCAAAATGCAGAGTTGGAATAAGATATATCCTTGTTTACTAAATTTGAGGGGATAAAAGGAAAGTGAGACCTACACAAAGTGGAATTCAATTTTAAAGGAATTGGACTCCTGATTGGAGGTGGTATTTCATGGCACGTTTAAGTAACGGTAATGAAAATAGGAGGAATTGAATTGAGGAGGAGTTGGAATGAGGAGAAGTCAAAATCAGATTCCTATTGAAGCTGTTTACTTAAATATTCTAGAATCGGAATAGAATTCCATAAAGCTATTTATTAATTAAATAGAATCAGAATATAAACCAGTATGATTACTAAAATGCCCACTTCAGTAGGTTTATAAAGGATAGTCTTGGAAATATAAAATACAAGTGAGGGCATAAAGGGAACAAAAGTGTCATTCCGATTACCCAAATAATCAGGAATTGGATTACCACCTATATCTAGGGGATCCAATTCCACCAATACAAGGAATTGAATTCCAAATTTTGTGTGGGTCCCACTGCTTTTTTAATTTCTCCATGTTTAGTAAACACTGGAGTACTCCGTAATCGGAATTCAATTCAACATTCTCATTCCGATTACGGATATGTAAACACGCCCTCAATTTCAGACGCACAAAGGAATCAGAATCTATTTTTCTTACCCATTATACCCTTAGTGATTTACTATAATTCCCTTTTGGGCAACCACCACCTCTGTCTCGTTGTGCTTTGTGTAACACGAGTTGGGAAATAATTGAGATGACAAATCATTGAACTATGTCCCACCTTATTTTATTTGAGTGCTATGAGTCATTATAATATATACTAGTGCACAAACAAAGGGTGTCCGAAATATTTTTATTTTTATTTTTGAAATAGAATGAGAGAGGAAGAGGGTGATAGAGAATGTGGGAGTGAGATGTTTATTTGTTTTTTTTTTAATTATTTTTTTTATTTTTTAATTAGAGATATATTAGGATTACATACAGGTAATACTTTGAAAAAAAAAGCAAAATTTGTTTGTGTGAAATTACATTTATGCTCATACTTCTTATTCATGTTCTGTTTTAGTTAGAAGGTTAAACTGGTAATTTCATTGGGTTTTGGTTCACAATGAGTGTTTTATTAATTAGTAGAGAGATATATATATTAATAAAACATGGATAAAATTAGACAAAGTTTTAATGTATCTGAACGAATTTTTCATTTCATAATAAATAGGATTACAAAAAATGTTCACATATCTGGGAAGCAAAAATATTTTAGTTTTAGAGTTGCATCTAATGGAAAAGGTGCATGTGAGTATTAAAAAAAAACTTCAATTTGATGTTTTATATAAAAAAAATATTAAAACACCCAACGAAATATGAGTATTCAACGTAAAATCAATTAGCAACAACTTTGAGTAGACTTGTTATTAAGCAAGACATTTAAAGTGGTCGTTTACAGACAAACATTGCGATAGGCAGTGTAAACGGCTTCGTCAAGAGACTCCAAATTCCAGTGAGAAAATTGGTTAAACAGGCAACACCTCACCCTTTCTATGTTTTTCTTACAATCATGAACAACCCCATCAGCAACAACCCTAATAAAACTCTCACTCCTCTTCTCCTTCCCCTTTTTCTCCACATGATAACCATACACATGGCCGGGGCCTCACCGCCAATCTACGTTCCGTCTGAACAAATCACCCTTCAATGTGGCTCCTTCGGTACCAATTTCGGCCAAGACAACCGACTATGGGATGGAGATATTGACACAAATTTTCCATTCGAGAACCAAGCAGCTGGTAACAAATCCATAAGCAAAGAAGCACCTTCTCCCTCTTCTTCCGGCCAAGTGCCTTACGGCACAGCAAGGCTTTCCCGCTTTGAATTTACCTACACATTTCTACTCTCTTCCGGCCCAAAGTTCATCCGCTTGCATTTCTACCCAGCTTCATACGCCCCCAACTTCGACCGATCCCAAGCCGTCTTCTCAGTCAAAGCCGGTGGCTTTACCCTTCTCCACGACTTCAACGCTTCAGCTACGGCTGATGCTTCTGGCTCGGATACTATATACAATTTATTCTTAATTTATTAATATTTAATTAAATTTTTAATCCAATTAGACGAGGGGGTGGACTCTGCGCACGGTATGTTAGTAGTTAACAAACAAATTGATGAAATGTTATATATAACATTTTTTTTAAAGGGAGACAATGAATGGCAAGTTACGGTTATCCAACCATTCCGGATGACGGAAAGTGATATATAACATTTCAGTGATTAAAAAAAATGAGATATGCATAACAGTAATACAAAATTGAGGTAGTAAATATAATTTATTCATAATATAATATAGCTACAACTTTCTAGCTCATTTACTCCACCGACATAATGTGCTATAATTCGAGTCTGAATCCTCGTCGGATCCTCTTGGTGAGGATCCGGGGATCCACGTATCTTATCCGTTCATCGTACATCGTACGGTCAGAAATTATTTTAAATTTTATTATTTAAAATTGAATACAAACAATACCAGAGAAAAACTGATACGATGAATATATATGATTCACGGATCCATAGGATCCTCACGAAAGGTATCTGGAGAGAATCATGTTGGCTATAATTCGCTCGCGTATGAATGAATCTTCCTTTGTGCTTTCGTCATGGGCTAGACCTATACCAACAATACGTCGAGTGCGTGGAGGAAAAAGTACGGAAACTGCTCCCGGTCATTCTTCAGGGCACGCGTTTTTTTTTTTTACACAAAGACTTTGGGTAGACTTGTTAATTGTTATTAAGGAAGACATTAAAGTGGTCATTTACAGACAAACATTGCGATAGGCAGTGTAAACGGCTTCGTCAAGAGACTCCAAATTCCAGTGAGAAAATTAAAGAAGCACCTTCTCCCTCTTCTTCCGGCCAAGTGCCTTACAGCACAGCAAGGCTTTCCCGCTTTGAATTTACCTACACATTTCCACTCTCTTCCGGCCCAAAGTTCATCCGCTTGTATTTCTACCCAGCATCATACGCCCCCAACTTCAACCGATCCCAAGCCCTCTTCTCAGTCAAAGCCGGTGGCTTTACCCTTCTCCACGACTTCAACGCTTCAGCCACGGCTGATGCTTCTGCCTCGGATACTATATACAGAGAGTTCTGCCTCCACACTGAGTCAGGACAGGATTTGAGTATCAGCTTCACTCCAAGCAAAGCAAGCCCAGATGCCTACGCGTTTATCAATGGGATTGAAATTCTCTCCATGCCCCCATATCTTTACTACACTTCACCCCGGAGCCCAGATGGGGTTGCTTATGTAGGCAGCGCAAAAACGATTCGCATCGAGAACAACACTGCTCTGGAGATGGTGTACCGAATCAATATCGGTGGCCAAGGACGGATCTATTCCGATCAGGACACTGGTATGTACCGCAATTGGGATGGTTTGCGAGACGAGTACAACTACTTAGACGATTTAAGTAGGAAGTATAGTATTTTACCGCAAAACAGTAGCATTCAGCTTAACTTTTCTAAAATACCAGAGTACTCTGCTCCGAAAGAAGTTTACCAATCAGGCCGCTCAATGGGCGAGAGTCCCAGCGGGACCATAACCGACAGGTACAATCTCACCTGGGAATTCCCTGTGGATTCAATGTTTGCTTACTTGGTTAGGCTTCATTTTTGTGAGTTTGATGATGTAGTGACGGTGGGAGACCGGGTATTTAACATCTACATCGCCAATCAATCCGCTGAGAAAATGGCGGATATAATCGAGTGGAGTGGTGGAAATGGAAGACCAGTGTACAGAGACTACGCTGTGTTCATGTCGGGGAACCCTGCAATCCCGAAGAAAGTCAATCTCTTTCTTGCACTGGAATCGGATTTGTTGAATGGGTACTGGGTGGCAATCTTGAACGGACTCGAAATGTTCAAACTCAGTGCAAATCGGAGTCTCGCCGGACCAAGCCCTGACCCACCTCCTATAGCCCCAGCAAAGGGGACACCATCAAAACCTAGCACCAGATCAAGAACTCCTTTGCTTGCCACGGTTGTCGGTGTAGCTTGCGGAATACTTGGAGTCTCTGTCCTTGGGTTCTTGGTTTTTAGGCGGCGGCGGAAAGTCAAGGGCACTGCCTCAGATGGGTCATCATCTTTACCAACACATTTGTGTCGTTACTTTTCACTGGCGGAGATCAAAGCCGCCACCCAAAACTTCAGCCAGAGTTTCATTGTTGGTGTAGGCGGCTTCGGTCACGTGTACAAAGGGCATATTGACGGCGGGGCCACTCCCGTTGCTATCAAACGGCTGAAACCCGACTCATCGCAAGGAGCCCGCGAGTTCAAGACGGAAATCGAGCTGCTTTCACAACTTAGACACCGCCATTTGGTGTCTCTCATTGGGTATTGTACTGATAAAAATGAGATGATTTTGGTGTACGATTACGTGGCACGTGGAACCCTCGCTGATCACCTCTACCAAACTGACAACCCACCTCTCTCCTGGGGACAACGGCTCCAAATTTGCATTGGCGCTGCGCGAGGGCTGCGCTACCTTCACAGCGATGCCCAGGGCACAATCATCCACCGTGATGTGAAGAGCACAAACATTTTATTGGATGAGAAATGGGTTGCCAAGGTTTCGGATTTCGGATTGTCGAAAGTGGGCACGGCCACCATGTCCAAGACCCACATCAGCACGGCCGTGAAAGGCAGTTTCGGGTATCTAGACCCGGAATACTACCGACGTCAACAACTGACGGTGAAGTCCGATGTGTACTCATTCGGTGTAGTGTTGTGTGAAGTACTGTGCGCAAGACCAGCTGTGGTGCATGCAACGGAGACGAGGCAAATGAACTTGGCTGAGTGGACCAAGAGCTGTCATCACGACGGGGAACTTGATCGAATCATCGATCCGAACATGAAGGGTAAGATTGAAACCGAGTGTTTGAACAAGTATGTGGAAATTGCTATGAGTTGCATCCATGACAGTGGGATGGAAAGGCCGTCAATGAACGACGTTGTGAGGGGGCTTGAGTTTGCATTGCAACTACATCAGAACTGCGGTGAAAGGAACGAGGATGCCTTTGCTAGTGTGCCAGGTTGCACTACTAATGAATCCGTTCAGTGCATATCTGAGACGATCTTCTCAGAGATCAACGATCCGAATGGAAGATGATGAGCAACATTAGGAGTAATTTGGCTGGACACAAAGGCTATGGGTAAGCCTGACCATGATATGAGTATGTTTTTTCTTATCTATTGTGTTTGAACCCAATTGAATGCTGAATCACTTGCACTTAAAACGTGCTTCTAGATAGAAGAGTTTTTCTGAACAAGCACATGCCGAATGCTTATCCAAAAAGCACTCCCAAGCCTTTTCACAAGAAACCCTGATTTTTGTAAAACCTTCTGTATTTTTAATAAAAGCACTTGTCAACAAAAGTGCTTACAAAAACAGTTTCATACGATCCCCAATTTGGCTGGAATATGCTCCATTACAACTTCCGGACAAGAGAATTTTCCTGTTAAACGCAACATAAGTTACCACTGATATAAGCAGTAGATCATCATTTCGCAAGAGTACAATGTTATACCATTTTTAACCAACACGAAACTATTTTCCTGCCAAAATTTTCAAAACATTTGATTCAATTCCAAAATAAGGGGGAATCAATAACACTCGTTCATTGAAACTATCGTAAGTCAGTCAAGCACCTGCATTAAGATCCGTAAGTTTCTAACGAATAACTAAGCCTTGCACTGCCTGTGATCCATCGTCAGCTATCCTGTTGGCTCGAATGGTGCTGATAACGTTTGCAATATTACCCTGACAATGACAAACTCTGTCAATATACGATTATATAATGAAGATTTATGGACAATGCAATACAAAGAGTGGTTTGTTATATGGTAGCAATGAATCAGTTCTTAGTGGGCAGTTAATAATGAAAAAGCGGCTGAAGTTACTTACCCTCCAAGTTGCTAACTTTGTTCTTAGTGTAAGCCATTGTTCTTCCCCAAATACTCTCTCAGTACAGCGGCTGCAGATCAAAGGCCAATTCGGTTCAACAACAAAGAAGCCTAAAAGATTGAATAAACAACTATATGCATCTTTGTGCATACGCAGAAGGTACGACACAAACTAACCTCACAATCACCACTTGATTCATCTGGTCGATTTTACAGTCCATCAACTTGGCAGTTATTGCCCTTACCACCCAAAGTTCAACCTCGTCATCATTAATCTGCCAAAAAGAAGTGCATAAGCATAATTAACCATGATGTCAGATTTACACTTCTAGAACCAGAAAGGTAAGCCAATCTAACCTGAAGCGTATCTCTGATAGCACCGTAAGGAATCCGTCCAGATTCATCAGAACCAAGATCCATCAAGGAAATCAACCTCATCTTAGTTATGCAGTCTTCATGGACAAGGCCTATAACATTTCAGAAAGCATAATTTAGACAAACAGAAAAATGTATATAATCCGAAGAAAACAGTCAGATGAAACTAAACTTTACCGTAGCATTTCAGTAAATCAGAATTTACAGCCTGAAACTCCAAGTAAGCATCCAGCCTCTGAGTCAGAAAGATCTTCAAAAGCTGATATGCCAATGCATGCTTAGCATCCTTCTCCAGTTGCTCTACAGCAGGCATATTTAGCAAATCACACTGCAGCATAACATTAACAAATCAACACATCAGTTATCTAAATGCCTAATGGAAGGGGGGAATATGATCATCAGAGCCAACAACAACAAACAACAACAACAACAACAACAAAGCCTTTTCCCACTAAGTGGGGTCGGCTATATGAATCCTAGAACGCCATTGCGCTCGGTTTTGTGTCATGTCCTCCATTAGATCCAAGTACTCTACGTCTTTTCTTAGAGTCTCTTCCAAAGTTGTCCTAGGTCTTCCTCTACCCCTTCGGCCCTGAACCTCTGTCCCGTAGTCACATCTTCGAACCGGAGCGTCAGTCGGCCTTCTTTGCACATGTTCAAAATCACCGGAGCCGATTTTCTCTCATATTTCCTACAATTTCGGCTACTCCTACTTTACCTCGGATATCCTCATTCCCAATCTTATCCTTTCTCGTGTGCCCACACATCCCACGAAGCATCCTCATCTCCGCTACACCCATTTTGTGTACGTGTTGATGTTTCACCACCCAACATTCTGTGCCATACAACAAATCGCTAGCCTTATTGCCGTCCTATAAAATTTTCCCTTGAGCTTCAGTGGCCTACGACGGTCACACAACACGCCGGGATGCACTCTTTCCATCCAGCTCGTATTCTATGGTTGAGATCTCCATCTAATTCTCCGTTCTCTTGCAAGATAGATCCTAGGTAGCGAAAACGATCGCTTTTTTGTGAGCTTCGCTAGATTGCTCCGGTCATTAGTGTTGGATAAGTATATAAATGGATAGAGATAGGAAAGCAAACACAAGATGTACGTGGTTCACCCAGATTGGCTACGTCCACGGAATAGAAGAGTTCTCATTAATTGTGAAGGGTTTACACAAGTACATAGGTTCAAGCTCTCATTTAGTGAGTACAAGTGAATGATTTAGTACAAATGACATTAGGAAATATTGTGGGAGAATGATCTCGTAATCACGAAACTTCTAAGTATCGGAGTGTGGTGTCGTCTTGACTTGCCTTATCTGTCTCATAGGTAGATGTGGCATCTTCTCTTGGAAGTACTCTTCCTCCATCCAGGGGTGGTATCTTTAACTGGTGGAGATGCACAAGGTAATGTATCAATTTCACTTGAAGCTTACTTGTAGTTTCAGGCTTGGTCAAGCGCGATACAAAACCATGTAGTAGGAGTCCCCCCAAGTCGCCGAGCTAGGGGGTCTGCTGAAAGAGGTGACAGACAAGGTAAGCAATCAGAGCTCCGACTGATTGTTCACCTTCTCCCCATCTTGCAGCAGCATGAAGGATAAAGAGAAGAAAAATGAGAAGAGATGATATGAGATACTTTTGCTTTTGAAGAAGTAACTTTCCACAGGCTTATTCTTGAACTGAGCTGGAGGGTTTTCTGGTTTCCTCCAGAGTATAAGGCCGACTGAAGAATTTGAGGGTCAAAACAAGTCCATCAAATCTAGAGTACGTTCCACCCTGCTGATATGGGATACTTTTGCTTTTGACAGAGTAATGAAATGTATCGGCACGTGTGCTGTTTACGCTTGTCTCCACATGCTTCCTTGTATCCTTCGCACTTGCCCTATCTGTTCCTCAAGCAGATGCGGAATCTTCCCTGGAAACATAAGATGTTGAAGATGAGTACTCGAGAGCAATGCCAGGTAAGTAATCAGGTAAGGGGTTCCAGGCAGTCAGTTCCTGGCTGGAAGCTTGATTCCAAGTGCTGACTGATTGCTCTCTTTCTCCTTGTCTTGCAGGTAAAAACAAGGCCAAAAGAAAAGACAGGGAAAAAGCATGATATGGGATACTCCTTGCTTTTAACCCTGATGATATGAGATATTCTTGCTCTAGTATAGCTTGTTTGCAGAGGTATTATCGGGGGGAAAGAAAGCTGAATATTTCGAAAGGCTTCGTTGGGAGTGCCCTCTCAGATATGATGAAGGGTTGAGCATTTTTGCAGGTCTGCCTGTCCGTTGGGGATGGAGGTCGACATATATAGGAGTCTCCCTAACAACAAGTAGTAATGCTATTCCTTTACCCTGCTTGGTCATAGCACGGTAGTGGGAGCTGCCAGTTTTCACATGTTTTAACTCTGTCAGAGCACTTTGAAAAAAGTGGTCTGTGGTATCTGGCTCTCGAGATTCGGAGAACGATGCCTCTTCGATTTTGAGAAAGCAATCATGCTGGGGGTATGACTCTCGAGATTCGGAGAGCAGTGTCTCTTCGATTTTTTGAGGAAGTAATCATGTTGGGAATCTGGCTCTCGAGATTCGGAGGGCGGTGCCTCTTCGATTTTGGAGCAAGCAATCTTGTTGGGAGTGTTTGTCTCGAATGTGAGTAAAGGTTGGGCATGTTTGCTAGTCTACCTTGCCACGAAGCACAAAGGTTGACACACAGGGACTTTCCAATTAATCCAGCAATAGTACTGTTCCTTTACCCTCTCTTCGATTTTGAGAAAGTAGTCATGTTGGGAGTCTGGCTCTCGAGATTCGGAGGACGGTGCCTCTTCGATTTTGGAGCAAGCAATCTTATTGGGAGTGTTTTCTCGAATGTGAGTAAAGGTTGGGCATGTTTGCTAGTCTACCTTGCCACGAAGCACAGAGGTTGACACACAGGGACTTTCCAATTATCCAGCAGTGGTACTGTTCCTTTACAGTTGTGGTAATAATATGGTAGCTAGACCTTCAAAATTTTATGTGTCTAAACTTTTGTTAGTGCTGTTTCTTTGCTATTCTTTTACCTTTCTTGGTCAGAGCGATGTAGTGGGAGCTGCAAGCTTCACGTGCTCAACTTTGGCAGAGAACTTTGGCAAAGTTATTTGTGGTACCCATGAGCTATTGTTGTGTGTGGGAAGTGGGTGATTGAACAGTAAGATTCATGTGCTTTCTACTTCACCAGAAGTCTTCGACAGAATGCCCATAATTTCTGCAAAGCTGAGTGTGCGTGTGACAGGTGCTGACAAGGCTAGAAAAGTAGGTGCCTCTTCGATTTCTGAGATCGGCCCTCGTGGTCTCTGAGCAGCCCATCTTTTGAGAAAGCGAGCGCCTCTTCGATTGATTCGGAGGAGAACGATGCCTCATCGATTTTTGAGAAAAGCAATCATGCTGGGGGTCTGGCTCTCTCGAGATTCGGGGAGCAGTGTCTCTTCGATTTTTGAGAAAGTAATCATGTTGGGAGTCTGGCTCTCGAGATTCGGGGAGCAGTGTCTCTTCGATTTTTGAGAAAGTAATCATGTTGGGAGTCTGGCTCTCGAGATTCGGAGGGCGGTGCCTCTTCGATTTTTGGAGCAAGCAATCTTGTTGGGAGTGTTTTCTCGAATGTGAGTAAAGGTTTGGCATGTTTGCTAGTCTACCTTGCCACGAAGCACAGAGGTTGACACACAGGGACTTTCCAATTATTCCAGCAATGGTACTGTTCCTTTACCCTCTCTTCGATTTTTAAGAAAGTAGTCATGTTGGGAGTCTGGCTCTCGAGATTCGGAGGACGGTGCCTCTTCGATTTTGGAGCAAGCAATCTTATTGGGAGTGTTTTCTCGAATGTGAGTAAAGGTTGGGCATGTTTGCTAGTCTACCTTGCCACGAAGCACAGAGGTTGACACACAGGGACTTTCCAATTATCCAGCAGTGGTACTGTTCCTTTACCCTTGTGGGTAATAATATGGT